CTCTGTGCGTATTGTGAAGTCCCATAAAACTGTTTCAAGTCCTCTCTCCGTAACCGGATTTGGGTGAGGTTCATACCACTTGCTTGCAGGTTCTTACGTTTATTAAGAAACAAAATGATCGACATAACCTTTCCAATAGTTTTCCATAGTTAAGAGAAGTGCGCTTTTTAAGGAAAGAAAAAGAAAATTAAATATTTAACAATCTTCAACAATATTTCAAGAGTATATCCGTCTTTTTCATGATAAATTTAAATTTGTTTTTTAAGTATAAAAATATTTAACATATTTTTCGGCTTAGAAAAAGCCGCGTCAAGCAAGACGCACCTTCATATTGGAAAGAAATTTCTAAGAACAAAAAAGTCATTCTCATACAACAACACATTCACCATGCGGCCCTCCCATACTGGCGCCACGTATTGTTTATATTAGTCACTCGTTTGATTTTGTTTGTATGGCAATGACATACTAGTCAACGGCAGAAAAGTTCCCGACACTGCTAGTAAAGAGAGCATGTTTAAGCTTGTGGCTCGGCTCCAGGAAGGTTTATAGTCTTGGATATACTTGTAACAATTAAATTCTGAGGTTACATCATATAAGAGCTGGATTAGATAGATAGTTAATTTTATAATGTAATGAATCAATATACAGATCCACGTTCCTATGAGTCAAGCTAATTAGGTGACCGTCCAAGCTCACTGGAGTCTGACAATCATCAATTTCCAAACACACTAAAATAAATTAAGTAAATAAATAAAGTAAATAAATTGTTCGAATGTTAGCAGTTATGGCCTTCACAAAACAGTATGACTTTTTTACTTCGCGCAGTGTCGGTTGCATGCAACATAGCAGACCCAGGTTGCGTTAGGCCAGTTGATGCTAAAGTTCACTGTTCTCAGCTGTTTTACTAAAAAAAATAGAATGCTTATTTCATACCTCTCAAGAGATACATTTATGCTTAAAAAAAAAAGAACTTTAGTTGATCTAGGCCGGTAGATGATGATTTTATGACTGAGTAAATAGGCAAATGTTTACTGAATAATAATAAAAAGATAATTTACCTAAATTCTCTTTACATATCTATCTATGGCCTTCACAAAACAGTATGACTTTTTTTACATTATGACTTTTTTTTTACTTCGCGCCTACAAAAATGTTTTTCAAGTTATTTTTCAGGTACAAAAAAAGTGCGTACTGTAAGCCTGAAAATATGTGAACAAACCAATTGAATATATGCATAACAACGAAGTCAATATAATAATATCAATGAGCGGAGGCTAATTAATAATGAATATTTAGTTAAAAGTAAAAAGAAATTAGCAAAAAGCTCTTTTGAATTGCAACGACATAACTACATTTTGAGTCATCATTATTTTTACTAAATAGACTTTAGAATAATTGAAACTCTGTCCGTTCACATTTATTCAGCAACCCTTAGGATAATGCAATAAAACTGAAATACCTGACCTTGATACTCATAATTTCCCATTGACAAGTATAATTGTGCTACCATCTAATACACGTGGCCTAAATATTGCATTCGAGCATAAAATGACTCAACGTTACCCTCAGTTAATACTCTTATGAAATGTATTACATTATACAGACGCTATACCAGATATTATACAGACCCTATACCAGATATGGAGTACTTTTACCCACAAATATAGTAGTCCTTAAATGATATTTTATGTGTATGCTGATGTCTCTCTCTCTCTCTCTCTCTCTCTCTCTCTTTATATATATATATATATATATATATATATATATATATATATATATATATATATATAAAGAAAAAACAGATAACTTTAAGGCTCCATCGTAATAGTTTATTTCAACAGAGACATTTTTAAGTACTCTGGATCTTCAGAGTTCACATTCAAAAGGTGAAACGAAAAATGAAATGAATATTTACACTTTTGACGGGTAGTATTAACTATGTAATCTAACGGAGTAGGTAGTGAGGAGTGGTGTGAGAGACATGGTCGAGTTTCGAGAGGGTTTATTTTTATATTTCCTTCTATCATACTTAATATTGAGTTAGAAGTAGGTAAGGATCAGACACTGACCTATTTAATCGGTCAACTCAACGGAAATGATATGTTGAAAGGGAAGGAGAGAAAAGAGAAAAAAGAAAAAAGAAAAAACGGGAAATAAAGAGAAAGGAGATGTATTTAGGGTTTACGGAGGAAGAAGAGGGGTGGTATAGTTTTAGCAATTTAAGTAAAAAAACGGATTTTAACGTTTGATATTAATTTAAATGTTTAAACAATCCACGAAGAAATTAATTTAATACTTGTTAGCAAGTGACTAAATCGGTAAAGCACGTCAGGCTATATGACGGTTCCGTATAGGATACAGGTTCAATTCCTGTCGGACGACGCATATTTTCTATGAAAATTTCTCGGACGTTCAGGTCGTAAATATTGTTTAATACTGTTTATTATAAACATAGCATTTACTTAAATATTTTTATCTATAAAAAAAGAAGGTATAAACAAAAAACTGTCTTAAAATAATTGTCGGACATTCTCCATTTCATAATCTGTGGCATCATTTCATCTGATATTTTTAGAGCTTTATATCTTCTTACCTTTTATTCGTCACACCCTATTATCCATCGTTTTTCTAATTCCTTACCTTTAATATTACTATGTATGTTTCTCGGTTGGAAAGTCAAAACGATTGCAGCTCACCGAAGTCGGGAATCAGGCTGATACACTGCACTCTAGCCGTAAGCAGAAAACCACAAGCCATACCAATAAACAAGGAATTAGCATGCGTAAATGATATAAATCCTCCTTTCTATACTATAAACGGAAGTTACGATGCTGATCAGCAAAGTTAATAACTTCAGCGAGCAATGCGATTCGGAATCGAGAAATTAATAATTCAATGAGGTAGCCCTGTAATAAAGGCAATTGATAAAATAGATAACAAAACAATCTGTACACGAAATAAAACGGAGCCTTATAAAAGCATCAGAACAGTCGACGAAACAGAAAAAAAACGAATATAAAGAAAGGAACAGCTTTGAAAATAAAGAAAATACTAAAACTAAAACTGAAAAGCCTGACGAAATATATTCTGTACTTAACAGTATGATTTGAGAGACAGACAAGTCCAATACTCAACTGGGCTAAAGAATTCATATCAGTAGACTGACAAACAGATGACCGGACATTAATGACTGTACCCCGCAAATTATAGCGACATTTTAGATGCATAATGGAAAGATAGCAGAGAGCGACAAATATTGTTTCTTCTTTGTCGAAACTAAATAGCTGAATTTTTATAATATATTTAATAGAAGTATTATTAACACATTAGTGCTCACTGTAAAACACCATCCAGGGGAAGACGATAAACTACATCCGCGTCCTGGTTAAGACGATAAACGACATCCGACAGCAAGGCCTCTGATCAGGAGGTTTTGAGGAGCGTGTAACCACTTTTTAATTGCCAGCTATGGGACCCTAACACCCCGGGTCAGGGTGGACCCCTAAATTGTTAACCACTAATCTGTGGTCAAAACATTATGAAAATGTAAAAATAGGTTTTAATACCAGCAATAAAATTTTGAAGGAAAAATTATGACCAGCAAAAGCTTTTTACGGAAAAAAAAAATTACCACCAATTTATTTTTGAAAAAAAAAATATTACCAGCAATACAAATCTTGTCGGCATTAAATAACTCATTGAGGTTGATATGCCCTAAAACAAAACAAACCAAACCAAGCCCAACGTAAAAGCTGTTATTAATCATAAAAAAACTGATATAAAATCTTGTAATAATTATAGTATATAAAAAAACCGTAATAATTATAGCTTTTTCCCTGAATTTTTAAAAATTGTTCACCCCAAGCAATGTGAGAGTGCTACTAACACGTAAGAGGTTACAGAGAGTGGGAGCAAGAGTAAAGAGAGGTGAAAGAGGAAAATATGAAGAGAAGGACGGGGAATAGATCAAGACATCTGGATATGTCGATTGACATTTCATTTGAATAGTTGGATAACCAAGTAAGAGGAAGGGTGTTCCACAGACGGGAAGTGAAAGACATGAAGCTGTTGAAGTAGAGGAGACATTAAGCTGGGACTGAGATGCCGACGTAGGGGCACGTTTAAATTCATGCAGTTTGGGAACTAACGAAAATATCTCGTCGGAGCAGTTATCCTGAAAGTATTTGTAGAAAAGACAGAGGTAGGCTACGGCACGTCTGTGAGAGAACGACTGTAAACGAGATGCGAGATCAGGGCCAATCACATTGCATATCCGTCTCTGGATTTTTTCGAGGAGCCGAAGACGAACAACGGGAGCTCGAGACCATATATGTCAACAATATTCAATGTAAGGGCGAATGTTTGATTTATAGATTTGAATAAATATATAAATATATAATAATATATAAATTTACCCAAATGCTATGTTTTAAGAATTAAAACATAACTTTAAGCCATAAATTAGTGTATTAATTATGAAATATGAAACTAAATTTCTGTTACTGATTACTAGTTTATAATTATCCGATGTTTGTTAAAGATTAAAAAAAAAAAGATTGTATCAGTTATAATTTCATTTAAAAAAATATTATAGGTTTATAAAATCCAATATTAATTGTAGGTGACTAACAAAAAACGATTGATGTCCTGTTTTAAGGCAGTCAGTAATAAAAGGGTAATAATATAAGAAATGCTGTATCAATAAGAGATGAAAAACGGAAAAACGGTGGAATGAACAAAATATATAATAAAGAGAGTAGAAGAAAATACAGCACAGAGATTATATGTAAAGAAAAACTGAATGCTTTATGAATAGGTTATCTGAAGACAGAAACTTAATACCTATAGGCGGAGGGTAACTGAAGTGAAAAATTGAATACCTATACGCGGAGGGTAACGCTAGAGAGAAACGGAATGCCTATATGAATAGGTTACCTGAAGAGAGTAAATGAATACCTATACGCGGAGAGTAACTGAAGAGATACGCGGAAACTGAATACCTATACGGGGAGGGTAACTGAAGAGGGAAAATGAATGCCTATACGTGGAGGGTAATGGAAGAGCGAAAATGAATGCCTATACGCAGAGGGTATCTGAAGAGAGAAACTGAATACCTATACGCTGAGGTTATTTTAGATAAAAATTGATCGTCTGTATGCATAGAAAGAACTGAATACATAAACACAGAGAGTAATTGAAGATTGACATTGAATACCCATATACAGATTTTACTTGAATAGAGAAAGTGAATGTCTATAGACGGGAACTACCTGAACAGAGGAATTAAATACGTATGCATAAAGAATACCTGAAGAGAGAATGTGACGCAGACGATACCTGATGAGATAAATTGGCCAAAATTCCAGCCTGCAAAAAATGGAAAGGCAAAAGAACGGTTTTCCATTGCCATCGCCGTTACTTTAACTACCTGCACTCCTTGGCAATGTTCGCGGTTTTAATATACGATGATTAGAATTGTAATAATTTAAAAAAAAAATGAAATAAATAAAATTTAAATTTAAACATAAATTCTCAAGTAAAAAAAATTTATAAATTATACACTTTTTGTGCAGGAGAATTTGCAAGAAAATATTAAAAAATCTGTTTTTTAGATTGTTTATTTGCAAGAATAATGATGCAATTTTTAATATTTATTATTTACCAGTTTATAAGGAAATAAATGTAAAAACAATTTTTTATTCATAAATTTATCAATACTTATGAAATGATTAAAATGTATAAATCAACTATAAGTAAATGCTTATTATTTAGCTTTTATAATGTTCGAATTAACTGGAAATTAGTTGATGTTTTGCCAACCATTTTAAAAGACAATAAATATTACGGAGGAGTGAAGGTAGTTAAAATAATGGCTGTGCTATGGAAAACACGTCCTTTTGGCATTAAGGTGCAATTTTGTCAAAAAAAAAAAGAATATTTATACTCAGATAATAAAGATGGAAAATGAATAATTATAATCTGTGGTTACCTGAAGAAAGAAACTGAACGTCTAAACACAGAATCAATATCTATACACATACGGATACTTATGCTCAGAGGTTAAGTGAAGAGAGAAACTAAGTGTCTTACGTAGAGGTTACCTAATAAGTGACATTAAATATGGATACGCAGAGGTTATCTGAATCGTGAAACTGAATACCTATAGGCAGGGGAGACCTGAAGAGACAGACAAATTACATATACGCAGAGGTTACTTGAAGAGAGAAGCTGAATACCTATATACATAGATAATCTGGAAAGCGACACTAAATACCCATATGCAGAGGGTACCTGAATAGAGAAACTAGAAATCTACATGCAGGGGTTACATGATAAGAGAAATGAAATACCGATATTAACAGTTTGTCTAGAAAGAAACTGAATACTATACGCATAGTTTACATGACAAAAAAGAAAAGAAATTTAATTTTTCATCCTAGAACACACACACACACACACACACACACACACACACACACACACACACACACACACACTGTTAACTGGAAATGGATTGTTGTGTGTATGTATTTAGCATTATAGAATGTTTATATAAATATAATTCTTCCTTGATAATTACTAAAGTTATAGCCGAAAGCGCTTGGTAAAATAAAACATTTTGACAATTTTTGTATAATTTATCTTATGAAAAAAAGAAAAGAATTATATCATATGAGAAATTTTATTTAAAAAAATGATTCAAAGCAACTTGTCTGTTATTTAATGAAAGTTGTATGCAAAAAGGATTACTGCCTAAATACAATAATATATATATATATATATATATATATATATATATATATATATATATATATATATATATCAGTCGGGTTTCTATCCTAGTTAGAAGCAACGGGACGTCCAGCCACACTGATGAGCTGTGGCACAGCGAAACAGTCTGTCTGTGGATAACAATATATATATATATGCTCCTGAAAAATGTATTTCGGTTGAGCAACCTGGGAAGGAAGTGTGGGTTTGTAAACAGTGACTATTACGGCTAATGATGCAAGACTCTTTGGTAAATCGAATCGAGTTCTCTCAGTCACTGTGTTTATCTAACAATAATACGCTTAAATTCACCTTCATCCCTGCCATGCGCCAATGGCTTAGTGGTAGAATCCAGATTGATGCCAATTCAGTCAGGTTTCGATCCTAGTTAGAGGCAACCAGGTGTCTATCCACACTGATGAGCTGTGATAAAGCAAAACAGTCTGTCTGAGGAATACAATATATATATATATATATATATATATATATATATATATATATATATATATATAATATGTTGAACGACGAAAAGCGTCACTCGAAAGCCATTTGACAGAGTGACATGTGTCTTCCCTCAAAATTGTTCTTTATATATAAAAAAATTATATATCGTTATCACACACACATATACTCACATACGTTACATTTACACAAAAAAATAGCCTGACGTGCCTTAACCGATTAGGCCACAGAGGATAGTTCGGTTTAAAAGGTCGATTTTACTTCTTTTAAACTACAATCTTCCATGAATCTCTCACGGACATTCATATCGGCTCAATGCGTATCCAAATGTAAACAAATAACGTCACACATTATGAAATGGACAAAGTCCGAGAATTATTTTAAGACATTTTTATGTTTAACGTTCTTTTTTATAGATACAAGTATTTAAGTAAATGCTCTGTTTTATAATAAACAGTATTAAACAACATTTACCGACATAAATATCCGAAAAATTTTCATAGAAATCTTTCATATGACGGTTCCGTATAGGACACAGTTTCGATTTCTGTCGGAGGATGAATGTTTTTCTTCAGAGTTGTTATACGGACATCTAATGCTGCAGGATCATGTAACTTGAATTTAGTGTATTGGAGCAGCAGATCGTTATTTAAATATATATTGTTAAATATAACGGACAACCAATGTCTATTATATTTGATCATGAGTCCTTCTAAACTTGCTAGCTTTAATTTCGGTATAACCACACAGATGATTGCCCCTGTGATCCGAAAGCTTAGCTCGAGCACCAGATTTATAAGAAAATATCCAAATATTGGACAATTTTTATCTTTATTTTCACCCGAAATTAATGCAAATATACGAACTTTAGAACGGCCCATACTCAAACATAATAGACATTCATTGTCTGTTATATTTAACAATATATGTTTAAATAATGATCTGCTATCCAAATACAATATATATATATATATATATATATATATATATATATATATATATATATATATATATATATATATATATACACACGGGTAAAGACAATAAGAAATCTGTAAAATTATCCGACGCGTTTCTTCTGATATGGACATTTTCAAGGCAAAAATTAAACGAATTTATTGAAAACCAAATAACTATTAACAACAAACAAAATGTGAGAACGCTACTGTATTGATATCGTCAACTGAAAATTACGCCAAATATTGTTACGTGTAGAAATTTTGTTTTTATTGTTGCATTGACGCATTCAAGAATTTTCTTTTGCTTTCTTGATATAGTTGTGAACGTTGGTTTGGGAGAGTAGTAATTCTGTCAGGAAAGTCGATATTGGGGAACAACCTGGACGTAGATTAATATTTGGATAATATTTAATATTTCTACATGTGAAAGTACTTGACGCAATTTTCAGTTGATAATATGAATACAATAGCGTTTTCTAAATTCTTCTAGTTGCCAAGGGCATTTTATTTGTTGTTAATAGTTACTTTGTTTTCAATAAATTCATTTCGTTTTTGCCTTGAAAATGTCCACATTAAACGAAACACGTCGGTTAATAATACAGTTTTCCTATTGTCTTTTACCTTTAGACATATTGTCTTTTTCTACAGGTTATATATATATATATATATATATATATATATATATATATATAGCATAATGAGAAGCCACGTATACTTTCTTAATATGTTCCATATCACGTGACGTCCGCGTCTCGCGAAGGACACTACTTGTAACAAACAGTAATTTTAATTTATTTGTAACAAACAGTTATTTCTGATGAAAAATTGAGGACAATTTGAAATATCAAATATATATATAAATAAATACTTTCATAAAATAAAACATTATTATTTTTAATTTGAAACTTTATATATATATATATATATATATATATATATATATATATATATATATTAAAAAAGGTACAAAGTCAGACAATTTTTAAAAGGCATTTTTATATTTATGCATTCTTTTTATAGATACAAATATTTAAGTAAATTCTCTGTTTATAATAAAATCTATTAATAACATTTACCGGCCTGAATATCCGAGAAATTTTCATAGAAAGTATGCGTCCTCCGACAGGAATCGAACCAGTATCCTATACGGAAGCGTGATATATCCTGGCATGCCTTATTTATATCTATAAAAAGAATGTATAAACATAAGAATATTTTAAAATAATTCTCAGACTTTGTCCATTTCATAATGTCTGACGTCATTTGTTTATGTTTGGATACGCCATGAGAAGATATGAATGTATGTTAGAGATTCATGGAAGATTGTAGTTTAAAGGCAGTAAAATCGACCTTGCTAATAGAATGAAACTCATTTGACGGTTCCGGATAGGATACAGGTTCGATTCCTACCGGAGGAGGAATATTTTGGTCTGTCTATATTTCCTCAAGGACACATGGCACAGTGGATAAAGGCGTTGGTTAGATCCAGTGACAAGACCTAAAAAGAGTGTGAGTTCAATACCCGGTTAAGGCAATGAAGGGAATTTCAGGCGGGAAATTAACAGGAGATAACTGATAGCTGACATCCATCAAACATGGCACATGGAACTAGAACAGTTTACCCCAGTGAGCGAAATAAAGCGTTCAGTTCGACATTCCAACCACCTGAAGAAGGCCGAAGCGTACAACTGCCGAAATGTTGTGATAAATATGGCGACAAAAATGAGGACACTAGTCTGAATAATGTAGACAATGAGGAATATTTCAAGACGGTAAATGTTATTTATACTGTTTATTATAAACAGGGCATTTACTTAAATATTTGTATCTATAAAAAAATGTATAAACATAAAAATGTCTTTATATATATATATATATATATATATATAAATATATATAAAGTAGTTTAAATATTTGGGAATTTTTTTAACAGGGGGTCGAAAATACAACACTGATATCTTAATCTCTATTGGATTAGCGAATGTCGCATTCCGTATGCTAAATCTAATAGAAAGAATCAGGAAAATTTTTGTTAGCAACATCAAAAGCGTGTTGAACTGTTATGGCAGTGAATGCTGGACAATCTTCCCAGAGATGAATAGCAAACTGGAAGGTAAAGGAAAATAGGTTCTTAAGAATGGTACTGACAGTTCCATGGACGAAGAGATTAAGCCACAAGGAACGCTTAAAGAAAATGCTAACTGAAAGACCACTTATACACAGAATCAGTAAAAGGCAGCTGATATTTCTTGTACGCATAATGATGAGGGGGTCTGGAAAAAGGCACACAGGAGAAATGGAGTACAAAAATGATAATGCAAATCAACGGGTCACTTTGCTTGCATGGTGGGAGGTGTGTCAAGGCGCTTGACAGAGTGAGAAATGCTGTAAAAGATTATGAGGGAAAGGAAGTTGTTGAGAGCAATAATCATCTATGTGCTGAAGAGATACGGCTCATAGAAGAAGAAGACAGAAAAACGAAGTTTGATAATGTCTAGAAAAAAAAAAACGCAAACAAAGTGCAAACGCGGGACTGTGGAGATGAGTAAAACATTAACCGACAGAATCAGGGCAAGTCGTAAGTTTACCCCCAAAGAAGACGGAAGCAGGGACCTGATAGTCCGCGAACGTGGCTGCATCTGAAGATCACAGAGTGAACATGAAGTCGAGTGAACAATTCCGAAATACCAGGACCTATCTCGAGGGAATTAAAAAGATATGGAATCTGAGCTTTAGAGTCGTGTATGTAATAGTAGATCCACTTGGGAAATTGCCGAAAAACATTGGAATTGGGTTTGGACGAACTGAAAATTTGAGGAATGATTCATATTGTACACACGGCAATTGCCCCGAGAAGAAGACATTGTCAGCGAATTATAAATACAAGTAAATAATAATAATAATAATAATAATAATAATAATAATAATTAATATTAATAATAATTAATAATAAAAATAATAATAATAATAGAAGGACCTTCAAATCGTAATCTCAGAAACGTGCCACATGGAACCATCAACAACCCCCGTTGTATTTGGGGCCCTCGGATTGGTTGGAAATGATTCCAGTAGACTCATTGAAGGGATTCCTGGAAGCCCATGCCTTAAAGAAAAAAAAGAATTTTCTCACGAGTATAGTCCACAACTTATGAAGGGCTTTATCTATGTAAAATGCTTGTTTGTGTGTGTGTGTGTGTGTGTGTTTAATTGCTCATTGGAAAATGTCATGACGCCATTTCTGACCTTAGGTCTCTGGTCGGGACCTGGAAAGAAATGTGCAGACACCAGAAATCACAGGAATAATAATAATAATAATAATAATAATAATAATAATAATAATAATAATAATAAACCGTTCCAACAAGTACTATTCTGACTATGCAATATAAATATAAAAATAAATAATTGGAATAATAGTCGTTTGGTTGTGCCTATAAGCTGTGGGGCACTTGGAACTATACTGATAATATGGAGTAATAAAGACCACGTTACTAATAAAAATTTTCGAGAATTCTGAAGATGTTGAAGGAAATTTGAGAAAACTTGCGTTCATCAGACCCTCAGCACCTAACACCAAATAACCCTGACGGCAACATGCAATTATCTATAACAGAAACAACAGTAACAACAACTCCACCATAACCACCGCCACCGCCACCACCACTACAATCACAGCAACAACAATAACAACATCAACAGCAATAATAATATTAATACTGATAATAACATGAATAATATCTATATCTGGTGAGAGTCAACCACACCGTTACATTGTAAAGGTTGTATTGTTGTCAACTGAACGGTTATTAAATCTAAAATAACAAAACGACAACAACAATAATAACAATAATAATAATAATAATAATAAGAAGAAGAAGAAGAAGAAGAAGAAGAATGGTGACGAACTGGGATTGGCCAATGTAA